GAAACAACTCCTAAGATAGTGGAGTTAGTACCATGGGTAAAGAATCATTTTCTTCATCAATGATATGCTTTTAGTTGATAAGCTTAAATGTGACTTAATTGTGCTATGTGATAAGGACTATATTATCATTTCTATATCTAGTCATGCATAATTAATGTGGATGGTGATATTGACATGAATGCTACTTGTTGCTAAAAATGTCTAAAGTATAGATTTCGATAATCTATATGAAAGTAGTTCATTAAGACACATTGGTGACCTTAAAGCTACTTCATTTCGATTTACTATAAGTACCTATATCTAGAATGTCATTTATGTGTCTTTGTATTCTTAAATGTTTCATTTACATTTTCTTGGCATCACTAGCACATAAAATGAAATTATTTGAACTTGAAAATAATTGGATCAAATCTGGAAAGTCAAAGTTCTATCTTAATTAGGAAAATTTATTGGTTTTGCATTCCTGCATAAACCGGTCGACCGATACCTGATTCAAACGACCAAAGTATCTATTTCGGCAGTTCAAAAATTGATCCGGCAGACCGAAATAAGCAAATCAAAATTGCTTCAGAGATGTAAACCGGCCGACCGATAGAGTCATTTCGGTCGACCGATGTGTGTGTAGCACCAATACTTATAGGGCTTTCAAATCTACATCATGATATGCATTGTGCGTCACTATTGGTAATTAAGCTAGAATATATTCCCAAGAGTTCAATCAAGATAAATGCTTTCAATATATGTTTTTGAGCACATGTGACTTTGAATTAAAGCAATAAGAATGCTACATGCTTTTACATTAAATTACTTTTATCAAATGCATGATTTATTAACTTCATATCTAAAAAGTCTATTGAGGAAAAATCACCCAGACTTGAAATGCATAAATTTTGAACTAGATGTTTAAAATTATCAATTGCCTTGTGTGCTTATAAACAAGCTCCTATAGCTCATTTTGAAAGGCTTAGTGATTTTCTCAAGATTGATGGTTTTTGACAAAATTGATATATATGTGTGTTTGCAAAACCATTAATGAAAATATGTTGATTACACTTATATACTGTCCTTGAATCAACATTTATGATTTGTGCAAATAAGTTTACCTATAGCATGCAAAATGAATTGAAATTAGCATGATGCGTAAACTTGAATTCTTCAAAGGTTTAAAACTCCATTAGTGTCATGAAAATCATAATTCACATATTTATTTGACATTTTAATATTGGGATTATAATTCTTAAAAACACTTTGATTTAGCTTAGATGGCTAATATGATATCAAGTGCTATTCTATTTTGATGTTTTCATTTTTAGCAATCTAGAACTTCATGTGATATTCCTTGATCACTTCTTAAAGAATGTGTCAAAAAGAGATAGTTTGCTTATCCACATGAAGAGTCATGTAGCCAATCTCTCACCACATCTCTTAAAGAAGATATTTTGGTATCAAGACCTTAATCTATACATTGTTGCTTTTTGTAATCTAAAACTTCATGAGATACCTTAACATCACATCTTGAGAAATATGAACAAAAGAAATATTGAGCTCATCCACATGAAAAATCATGTAGCCAATTATTTCTAATCATATATATCAAAGAAAATATACTTTTGAATAATTGAAAATTTATTGCATATGACTAGGAGTAATGCCACATGTGATTTTGATCTTTCAATCATATGCTTATAAAAAAAAAAATCCTTGGCATCAATGGCTCATTCCATATATCATTATTTTATTACATTATTTAACATATCTCCAATACTTGATATATGATATAAATGGAAGCATACTCATTGGGGGAGATTATTGATAATCTCTTGAATGTTTATTGCATGACTTGTTATGCTTAATTGACTTATTTTGGAAATTGTCAACCATGCTACAAAATGACTTGTTGATCATCATATTCATTCTCATGAGCTTTCATGATTTTGATTATTTTTCCCTTCTTCTTGAAAATATCAAATGGGAAAAATATATTAGGATTGAAGCACACTTAAATTCCTAGATTTGCCTTACAAGGTTTTTGCCTTTTGGCTCATTCTAATCCATGCTTCCTTTTTATTTTTGTTATGATTTACTATGTATACTTTTGCCTATTTGAGTTTATGCTTCATTCTTTGGTTTATGTCTTATGTATACTTTTGTATATGTCATGAACCTTAATGATCTATTTAACTCATGCTATCAATGAAATTGGTAACTTATGATATAATTGTTTATATGTTACATTCCAAAGCATATTATAGTCATTACCACTATATTGCCAATTCTTGATGCCATCACTTCACTATGCTTAATGATAAATGTTAAATGAAGTTGTCTAGGCCTCCCACCTTTTTGAGATGACAAAGGGGGAGAAATATGTGTGATGTGATTCAAATGCTTGATGTTATATACATATCATTATCTCATTGTGCTTACATGTCAAATGAATGATATATATCTTTTAATGGAAGCATGTTGACAGGGGGAGATTTATAGAAATCTCTTAGAACTTAAAATGATCTTGCATGCATATAAATGTCTAAAATTCATGAAGAATGTACAAGCATGCTATTTTATAGCATTATGTTCATTAAATGCACTTTGATAGGGGGAGCATTTGAAAAGTCCACTTGCTTATGAACACATCAATGTTTTGTTATCGTCAAAAAGGGGGAGATTGTTGACCTTAAGGATTTCATCCAAGGACAATCTAGAGGTTTTGATAATAACAAACCATTAATGGTGTTTAAGGACTAATGTTTACATTGAGTGTTATAGATTATTCACATTCAAAGGATGACCTCAATGAAGATCATAAAGTCAATTCCAAGTATTCTATTACTCAAGATCACATCTATGGAAAGCAAAGGAGACAAAAGGAACATGAAGTTACAAGGAACCAAATGCAAAGTCCATCCAAAGATAGCTTGGACTACAATGAGTAAGAAAGCAACTTAAAGAAAGGAAGAAAGCAAGTCTACCTCAAAGCCTACACGATCATGGACAAAGCATGAAGAAAGGGGTAGATAGGATGGTAAGTGTTTAGGATTTAATTTCAAAGTATTAATAAATCCATTTAAAGCTCATCTCTATAAGACCATGCATATCATATCATCATTCATATGTTCTTATATATATTAGCAATAGACTATGCACTTCATTTATATATAATTGCATATGAAGTCATTGCTAAAGAGTGAGTGAGTTCAAGCTTGCATAAGCTTTGAAAGAACTCATCACTTGTGCTAAAAATGCTAAGACCATGCATATCAATCATATAATTGATATTGGTCAACAATTAAGGCATGAGAAGCCTTCATTACCATGAGTTGGTAACTGACATTAGGACCCTAGAATGCGCGTCGTGAAAAACTGTGTTTTTGGCTAAGTGTGAAAAATGGATTTTTGAAATAATGATTATTTCAAAATAATCTTTCCTAGTAATAACTCTTTGTACTTCAATTAGCATAAACTGATTTTATTAGAATTTTTGACCAAGTCTACATTGGTCTACATAAGGATTCATTTTTACCAAAACTATCGGAAATCCAAATTTGTACTAAAACTGAATTTCTACATTCTGATTTAATTGGATTTCAATTTTCTAGTATTTTTTATTGAATCCAAATGGGGGTACTTCCTTATTTACATTGTAAACTTAAAGTAAATGGACATATAAATATTGTAAAGATATTTACTTAAATATTTTTAATGGACTGAAATGCATAGGCAAATTGAATCGGACGACCGATGTGGACAGTGGCTATGCAACAAGGACTCAAGCTATTTCGGTCGACCAAAACAAAAGCATAACCCATTTCAGCCTACCAAAATAAAAAAGGTGAAAGGCAGCCTCTAGTCATTTCAGACGATTGAAACAAAATGATGCTTCATTTCGGTCGATCGAACTTGCGCAAATTCAAATCTGAACGGCTATTTTGCCTTGAACTGAGTGCACAACAGCTCTATTTTTGAATTAGCTGCAGAAACTCTATAAATAGAGTAAAAGGACTTCAGGATTTAATGTTGCTATACTTGAGAGACATCGTCTAGCATTATAAGAGCTTTTGTTCTTCATTCATATCATACTCTCTCATCCCATATCATTCATAGAGTATTGAGCTTCAATTTATTCATTTATACTCTAGTTGTGAGCTAATATTTGCATATCAATCTTTGAGAGATATATTTGTATGCAACAAATTTGATCTTCAATTTATAAGGGCTGGTGTGGCCCAAGGAAGAAGAAGCAAGCTAGCTTCATATTTGCAAGGATTAGTGTAACCCAAAGGAAGACTAAAAGAGGTTATCTCTTAGCAAGGAGAAGGAAGGAGTTGCTTTTAATCAAGATTTGCTCTCCACCTGTATGGAGGTGCCATAGTGGATTGGGAAGTTTTAAGAGGGGTCTTGAGCCGAGGAGTAGGAGTTTCCGAACCTCGCTAAAATCGCTGTGTGAATGTTTGCAAATCTCTCTTCCCTTATCTCCTTTACATTTATGCTATTAATTGCTTATGCCTATATATTGATTATTGCATAATTGTTAAAAGATTTTAGTAAAATTTGCAAAACCCAAAATTGGCTATTGTTTGCCATAGACTCTATTCACCACCCCTATAGAGTCAATACTTGGGCAACAGGTTCCCATTATCAAGGGGTCCCACTCGCTGATTGTAAATGAACCATATACATTATAAAAGAACATAGAGGTCTATTTTTAAGTCAATGTGGGACATCCCTTTTAAAAAGAAATAGTTCTACTTGTACAAAACAAAAGGGGTGCGAAAGGGAAACCCCCGATAGTGGGCCAGTGGGCTATCATTATCAACGACCTACTATCGGGGGGGGCCCTTCACTGATCATAAAGCCTACTACTTTTATTTTAATAGTAAAGTGGGGTTTTATTTTTGATCGATGTGGGACTCTCTTTTGGAGAAGAAACAAAAGACAGCTTTATTCATATGTCAGAGAAAGTACTAGAAAACTTTGTACGACTGCTTTATTGAAAATACCTTTTTAATTGCATCGCATTCCTTGGTTTGGCTACTTCAATGCCATCCAGGTGTTGGAGTCCGTATGCTCCTTTCCTAATCACATCTGAGATCCGGTACGGACGTTCCCAATTAGGTTCTAACTTTCTGACATATTTTTCCGACTTCAAGAGCACTAGGTCTCCCGGGTTAAAGCTCATGTGTCTAACTTTTTTGTTGTAGCTATTCATCAGCCTCTGCTGATATGCTGCTAGCCGAATGGTTGTGGCTTCTCTTTTCTCTTCTAGAAGATCTAGATTGTGCTCCAGAAGTTGATTATTTGACTCCTCCCCCCATGCTAAGGTTCGGATGGTTGGTGTTTCTACCTCAGTTGGGATTACGGCCTCAGTTCCGTAAGCTAAAGAAAAGGGGGTTTCGCCTTTGGGGCGTCTTGGAGTGGTCATGTATACCCATATCACATTTGGCAATTCATCCAGCCATTTTCCTTTCTTATCTTCAAGCTTTTTTTTAATGTAGGCAAAAATTATCCTATTGGTTATTTCCACTTGCCCATTACTCTGTGGATAGTATACAGTAGATATTTTTTGGTTAATCTCATATTTGTTAAAGAATCGCTGAGTATATTGATTGCTTATTTTCATGTCATTATCCATAATGATTGACCTTGGGATTCCGAACATGCATATTAGGTTGTTTCAGATGAACTTCCTCACCTGAACATTAATTATGCTTGTGTACGCTTCTGCCTCTACCCATTTAGTGAAATAGTCAGTGGCTAATAGGATGTACCTCTTTTGTGATGCGACTGAAGGCAAGGGTCCCACTACATCCATCCCCCATTGAGCGAAAGGCCATAGACTGCTCATTGTGTGTAGTTTTTCTGGAGGTTGATGGACGAAAGGTGCGTACCTTTGACACCTATCGGACTTTCCGGAATACTCCTCGACTTCTCTTGCCATGTAAGGCCAAAAGTAACCCTGGGTCAAAGCTTTGTGAGCTAATGACCCGCCCCCAGAGTGATTTCCACATTCCCCATTGTGCAATTGCTTCAGGACTCCTCTTGACTCTGTGGGAGTGAGGCATCTGAGGTAAGGTCCTGAGAATGAAAGCCTGAAGAGCTCTCCACTTATAATTAAGTATTTTGCAGCTTTTGCTCTCAGCTGCCGAGGTGCTTCTTTGGAATTGGGGAGTTCCCCTCTTTCTAGATATGTGAAAATTGGGTCCATCCAACTTGGTTCCCTTGGAATGACCAATACTGGTAATTCTTTTATGATGCTCGGTGTATCCAGAATGTCAATGGGGATGATTCTTATCATCAAGTCGTCTACTGATGAGGTTACGCAGGCCAAGCGATTAGCAATTGGGCACTCTTCCTTGGGGATCTATCGAAATTTTATTGTGTTAAAGCCTTTTGCTAGCTTTTCCACCTCTTTCTTATATGCATTCATTCTTTCCTCTCTAGGGGTGTATTCATCTGTCACCTGTCTAGTGACGAGTTGTGAATCACTATTAGCTCAAAGGTGTTTTACCTGAAGCTCTCTGGGTAATCTGAGCCCTACCAACAGTGCTTCGTATTCTGCTTCGTTATTGGTGGCTGAAAGCTTTAATTGGATTGCCTATTGGAGTCTGGTTCCTTCGGGAGTTCAGATTTCCAACCCTACTCTAGCTCCGTTTTGGCTTGAGGAGCCGTCCACATGCAACTCCCAGAGGGGGTTCTCTGTGATTGGTTGTTCTTCTCCCAGGTCGATCTCCAAGAGAAAGTCTGCAACCACCTGCCCCTTCTTCGCAGTACGTGGCTCATACCGAATATCAAAGGAGTTTAACTTAATTGCCCATTTAGTAATTTTGCCTGAAATCTCCAGCTTACTGAGGATTACTCTGATTGGATGGGTTGTGGGGACTATTATCCAATGAGCCTCAAAGTAGTGCCAGAGCTTCCTTTTTGCCTGGATCAAGGCGAGGATGACTTTCTCAGCCATCGAGTACCTACTTTCTGAGTCCGTCATGGTTTTGCTGGAATAAAAGACAAGGTGTTGCTTTCTGCCTACCTCTCTCACCAGGGCTGAACTAGTTGCTGACCGAGATACTGCTAAGTAAAGGTACAATGGTTCTTCGGGCTCTGGGGTAGATAACATTGGGGGATTGGTCATATAATCCTTGGGTTTTATAAGAGCCTCTCGCTGCTATGTCCCCCATACTTCTCCCTTCTTTGCTTTAATGGCATCAAAGAACGTTTTACATTTTGTCTAATAGTTTGGATATGAACCGACTGAGGGCTACAATTCGCCCGGTAAGGACTTTAACATCTTTCATGGCTTGAGGTTCTTTGTTCTGAAGTAGCTTTGTCAATTGAGTTGGGCTGGCTTCTCTTGTTCATTAGATGGCCTAGGAACTGGACTGAGGACACTACAAATGAACATTTTGCAGGATTTAATCTCATCTTGTTCTTTCTGAGAGTATCAAATACATCATGTAGGTGCTGCAGATGATCTTTCTTTTCTTTGATTTTTACGATTATGTTGTCTATGTAAGCTTTGAATGTTCTGCCAATCTATTTTTCGAATACTTTGTTGATCAGTTACCAGTATGTTGCCCCTACATTCTTCAGTCCGAAGGGCATTACCTTATAGTAGTAGGTTTCGCATTCGGTAATGAAAGAAGTTTTCTCTTCATCCGATGGGTTCATCGGGATTTGGTTGTAACCTGAATAAGCATCAAGGAAAGTTAGTTTCTCATACTCGGTCGTAGCGTCCACCATCTAATCAATTTTTAGGAGTAAGAAGCTATCTTTTGGGCAGGTCTTATTTAAGTTGGTGAAGTCAATGCATACCCTTCACTTGCTATTTTTCTTCTAAACAACAACTACATTCGATAACCATTGTGGGTATTGGACTTCTTAGATGAACCCTACTTCCAAAAGTCAATCAACCTCTTCAACAATGATTCTATTCCTTTCTGGGGCAAATCTCCTCTCTTTTTGCTTTACTGGGTGGTGGCTCGAGTCCACATTTAGGCTGTGACACGCTACCTCTGGGTCAATTACTGGCATATCCCAGTGGTACCAAGCAAAAATGTCAGCGTTTTGCCTTAAGACTTTTGTTAGTTCTTCTTTTTCTTGAGTTCTTCGATCTGGTGCTCTTCTTCTGGCTCCTTTTTCTCCTCGAGAGAAAAGAAGCCTGGTAATTGTTATTTCAACAATTGTTTTCCCTTAATGGTTAATTGAATAGTAGTATGGTAGCATTCTTTCACCGCCACCTAGTCTCTCCAAATATCAATAATCTCTCATCCGTTGGGGCCAACACATCTCATGACTTGGTGCAGAGTTAACGGGACTCCTTCCATCCGATGGATCTAGCCTCGACCTATAAGCAAGTTATAGGTCGGGTGGATATCTACAATCACAAAGTTTTCCTTCAAAGTTCTTTTGGCTGCAGTGACTGATAGTGTGATTATGCCTATGGGCTCCACCCTCTTCCCATCGAACCCTACCAAGGGTTTCCGGTGGGGCGGACCTAATCCGAAGCTAGTTTCAGCTAGTCAAATGTCTACTTGGTTATAATGTTGGCGATGCTGCCTAAATGGATGAGGACACGCCTGACTAAGCAGTTTGTTGCCAGTAAACTGATCACCAATGGATTTTCGTGTGGATGCTACACTCTCTTGAGGTCTCCTTTGTGGAAGGAAATCTGGGTTGAGCTCAACCTACACTCTACTGCATTGACCTCACTAATTCTTCGCAGCTTGTGAGCTTACTTGAGTTGAATGCTGTAGGAATTCTCTGGTTGCTTATCCTTTTCCGAACGGCCATGGATCATGTTGATAACCTGCACAGGTTGATTATCTGCTGCAGCCTTTGGGGCTGGTCTGTTTAGTCCGGGCTACTTCTAATGGCTTGAGTTGGCTAGATACTAGGCCAACTTGCCCTTAGCTATCAATGTTTCTACCTGTCTCCTCAGACTCCTGCAATCATTGGTTAGGTGGCCAAAATCACTATGGAATGCACAGTGCTTACTTTAGTCCTTTTCTTTCATCGGCTATCTAATTGGGTGAAGGAATTTGAAAAATGTTTCTGCCCTTCGTCTCCTGACACAATCTTGCCAAGGTGACTCTGAGGGGTGTTATCTTCTCTGATGTTCATGAAATTTTCTCAAGAGCTCTTCCTTCAATGCTTGGGGGTTCCCGTTAGGCTCTTGAGGTGCTCGGCTTATCTCTGGCTTTCCACCATGACCAATGTTACCCTTTACTACCTCGTCATTTCGTTCTCTTCGAGTCTGATATAGTTTTGCGCTCTTGAATTCAACTCTGATATGTTAGCCGGAGTTTTTTTAACCAGCGAAGAATGAAAACGTGTACCTTATAGCATGGCTATCTTAAATGCTTTTATAGCCGTATCCTGGTTGTAATCCAGAATGCCTGAAGACTCCATGTTGAACCGAGTGAGAAAGGTCTGGAGGCCTTTCCCTTTTATCTACCGAATCATGAAGAGACTGGCAATAGTCTTTTTCTGTTTCTTGTTTCCGCGGTACTAGGCTAGAAACACAATGCACAGTGTCTCAAAGTTTGAGATTGACTTGCACGGACGGTTCTTGAACTATTCTAGGGCTACTCCAGTTAGAATGGATGGAAAGATTTTACACATGAAGGGATCGTTTCGCGTCCTAGGGTCATCTCCTGAGTGTAATGATCTAGATGCTGGAGGGGATCTCCAGTTCCATTGAACTTGATGAATTTTGGCATCGTGAATTTTTTAGGTCTAGCGACCTATTTTATTTCATCCAAGAAGAAAGTTTTACTGTAGAAACAGCGAACTCCCTTGCCATATCCTTGGGTGTTTGGGCCTTCAGCCCCTTAATACATTCATCCATCTCCCTTCGGAATTTGGCAATGAAATCATCCCCTAGTGATTACTTTTCCTTCCTGACTAAGCATAATCTTCTGATGCTGGGACCTTCGTGGCTCGAGGCTCTCCCAATGTGGAATCCGCCAATATACGAGACTGGCTTACTATTTCCTCACCATCATTTCGATCCAAAATGTCGTTTTGGACATTGAAATGCTACCGTGGAGCCCTCGACTGTGGAGGAGGGTTATTAAGTCCAGGCGTTAGGGGTGGATCTGCTGGCTCATTTTGGCTCTCGGGTTGAGGGACGATCGGTGGATCGTTCTGTCGAGCGTTGACCTGAAGTCCTTCATTTTCCCGACGCAGGGCATTAATTAGGGTTATGTTGGCTTCATTAGCTTGTTTCAATGCATTGATTTGCTCAGTACTAGCTTCGTTAGCTTGCCGAAAGATGTCAAATTATGTTTGTATCTCTTCGCGCATCTTCTAAATGATTTCCTGCTGTGCAGCATCTGATCCCGTCGCCATTCCGGAACGATGTTGCATGAAAGTGATAATGAGAAGACTTTTGGTAAATGCTTCCTACAAATGGTGCCAAAGTGTAGGTGCAAATTTTTACACCGAACACTTAAGATAATATGTAGAAAAATATGGACAAGAAGAATATACAGAATACGAACCAATTAGATAACAAAAGAGATGTAACTGGAAAGCGATGGATTTCTCTTCTCATTTATGCTTTATTTATAAGCCTGTACACAGTTTTACATAGAGCAGTTACTGGCAGTTTTCAAACGTGGGTATTCATGGCCCCTTATTTCGCAGCATTCTCCTTTATTGTGGGCGTTATAAAAATTTGAATGTGCCGAGCTTGGGCCATTCTTTGGTCTGTCTATTGTTGAGCGGACCTTCCTTCGTCAATTGGGCTGAGTTGACCTTCTGTTAGGTTATTTTTATTGGGCCTCTGGTTTGTGCTGGGCTTCAAGGCCATTTTGATCAGAGGTGGGCTTTTCTTTCATGGATACGTGTTGCATTATGATTAGTGGGGAACTTTCCCTCCACAATCTGACTGTCTCATACAATTATGGCATATAGCAGGAGCTTGAATTCCTTTCTTTTGCAAATTAGTGAAGGAAGGTAGTATGTCTATGATTGCCAAAGCATAAGTTGCAGCAGCTCTCAGTCTGCCCTTGTTCCAAACTAGCTTTGCCCAAGGTACTTTCGGATTCTTGATTCTGATCTCCTCCCATATAGCTTTAAAGGAATATTTACCCTTCTTCCAGCAAACCGTATCATCACTAGTATGAATTAGAGTGGTAGCAAGCATAGACAGGAAGTATTGGACCAATATTCAACTAGCCATATATTAGGGCATCGATCTGTATGCTTAACTATGTCTGTGACCCTGTATGTCTGGGATTCCATATGTCCCAGAAGGAGGGGATATATTTTTATGCTTTGGTAACTATGTCCTTAAATGAGGTATTCCATATGTTCTGCAGAGAATAAGAGTGTGGAAGCAGTGAAACATCCTTCCTACTTCATGGCATTGGAAAACATCACATTGGTGTTTTGCATAATTTCCCATAAGTTCATTACATCTGCCAAAACTATAATATGTTTATAATGAGTTACTAATGTATCAAAGATATGGAACAAGGTGGAGGTGGAGATTAGGAGTCTAAACAAGACGAGGATGGTGTAAACAGGCAAGGATAATCATCATTCTTGCCTTATTTCCATAGGAATGGGCTACGGGGGTCAGGATGAAGGAAATGAATTCATCTCTAACCATCCTATTAACTTCCCAACACATGCTGTGGTGAAATGAAAGATTCAAGCTTCGAAACTAGAATCACTTGGGACACTTTAGTTATCATCTTATCAATAGCCTCAGTTAGTTGTCTATACATGTTCAATTTATTTAGTGTAGGCTTCATGAAATTGAATAGGGAAACCATGAATTTAGTTCAAGGGGAAAAGGGTTAAGGTTGATTTATGCCTCGTATATTCTGAAGCGTAAATTAATCGTCTGAAATAGTTAGGCATCTGATGTTAAAGTAATGTAGCCAAAGTTAGCTCTTCGCTTCTTAACAAGCAGGTAGGTTTTTGTTAGGACGTTACTCCCTTGTGTTATGAGTTCAACTATAAAGCCCTCATTTTCAAACTTGATCCATCTTGAAAACCCTCTTACGTACTATAAGTTCTCTTACTTGCATACGGGAGTTTACCTTTTGTTAATACCTGTTGTGTTAGTTTAAGCTTATGCTTCGTTTATATGCTTAAAGCTCAAAGATATTAAAGACTGAG